CTATAACCAAATCTTGGTTATTATAACTAAACCTTTTTCTGAGTGTACTAACGATATATGACATACCAAGTCCCACTCCTCAATAGATATAAAATTCACCTTGAATTAATTCTTATTTAATTTGTGAAATTAGCTGTCAACCTATTTATATATCATTTCATCTTTATTTCGATGCGTGCTAATTTTGACAATTTACACAAAGTCAAAATAAATAATTTTTTTGTTTTCGAGCTGAAGGACTAATAAAAGGAAACGCAGAACTTAAGCATAATAAGTTTTATACACTTTCCTAAGAAAAAGTAGAAAAAACTAGCGATGCATCCAGTTTTTCAACAGACCTTTTGTCAAATAATATTCGACAGTTACATAATTCTTACCTAATTAAAGGTAATCTTTTAACGCGCAAATGGTCGACTCTCTTTATAGCCAGCCGTTGAACATTTCCGCTGGAAATACCTACTATTACCTTACTCTTTGACATTAAACTACGATTGACGGTGGACAGTCTTAACATAGTCAGCCCAATTCTGAATATTCCCGAGGATTTCTTTTCTCGCGGATTTTACTTTTCTCGAGAATAAAATCCTCCTATTCTAAACTGCCAGGGAGCACAATTTTCCCCGAAAATTTGGGAGCAGGAAATTCGAAGTTTCGAAGAGCTGTTTGACAGTTTTTTGACAGCTCAACTCCAGCTATTTAATTTGCGCGCTTTACACATGAACGTTTGTTTCATAATAATTTTCATTAACAAATTGCGACAAATAAGTTTGAACTATAGGAATAAAACAACTAACAGCTAATAGTGTAACGTGTAAACTAAACATAAACATACAAATTAAGATATTAAGCGGCTGTTTTAAGGCATAATAAGAGTAATCAAGGTACGTATATTTCGGAAATTTGCAACAAATACCATATTTCCAACCGACATTATTGTTAAATTAGCGCACAGATTTAGTAAATTAAATTTTTGTAATAAAGCGTGAACTGTTGTCTACAAGTATGTGTAAAAGGTTTTTGATTCGATTCACGCGTTTGGGCACAGCAACCCAAAATCGTACAAATTCATAAACAGTACCCAAAGTGTATTTCCGATTAATATTGTTAATGAATTAGTGCGCGGGAACTTAAAATCTCTGTTTTTTAATTCAAAGTTCCATCTTTAACTACACGGGTAAGTTGAAAGATTTTAATTTAGATCGCGCGTTTCCTTGTAATAACCCGAACTAAGTGGCCACATAGCATGAGAGTACCTTTTGCTTGGTCCAGTTGCCACAGTGAATTTTGGAATCCACATTTTTAATAAACTAGTGCTCCGGAACTTTAAATATTAGTGTTAAACTAAAGTTTAATCTTTTAACTCCCCGTGTAAGTTAAAAGTTTTGGATTTGGATCGCCGTTTTCCATACAATAATTTGCTACCTCCAGTTGCCACAGTGAATTTTGGAATACACATTTTTAATAAACTAGTGCTCCGCAACTTTAAATATTAGTGTTAAACTAAAGTTTAATCTTTTAACTACACGTGTAAGTTAAAAGTTTTGGATTTGGGTCGCCGGTTTCCATACAATAATCCAAAATAAGTGGTCAAATAGCATAAGGGTACCATTTGCTACATTCAAGGAACCAGCACTCGGGAATTTTATATATTAGTATTAAACTAAAGTTTAAAGTTTAAGGACAACGTTCATTGCACGGTGATTTTCCAGCTTTGGAAACGCTCATCGACATTTACTACACACAATCCTTTACTAAAAACAAGCAATGCATTGGGTACTGCATAGTTATTTGTACAACGATTTTGGGTTGCTGTGCTCAAACGCGTGACCCGAATCAAAAAACTACACACACTTGTAGACAAATAAAAAATACTATATCTGTGCACTATTTTTTAATAATTTCAATTGGAAATATATTAAACCCTAAATTTTTACTTTACAGATTTACAGATGCATTCTATTGCTTTGCGTTTAGCAGCAGAAGAGGCGGAGCAGGAAGCTAGGCACGAAAGAATTGCGCGAAGGCAACTAAGGATGATATGAATCCTTTCGAGTTACCTGAGTCTTTGTAAGTTAAAATTATATCTCGAATCAATTTAAATAGTATTTTTCTTACTACTATAGGTTTGAAAAGTACTACAGGGTGAACAAACCCGCATTCAAGTACCTGTTGGACGTGCTGATAGCAGTTTCAGAGCCTGCAAAAAAGATTTTTGCAGTATCCCCCTTAACAAAATTAAGCGGGTGCTTACGGTTTTTTGCTGAAGGCGGGTACCAGACGGGACTTGGAAAAGACTCCGATGTAGCATTGGCCCAATCCAGTTTTAGCAAGGTACTATCAGAAGTGTTAACTCTGTATGAAAATCACTTGTGCCCACAGTGGATAAAAGTGAGCGAAGGCCATGAAGAGAACCGGAAGAAAGCGCTAGCGTTTTACGCAAAACATGGTATTCCTGGTGTGGTTGGATGCATTGATGGTACCCATGTGAGGATAATTGCTCCACCACGAAACGCCCACATTTACTACAATAGAAAAGGTCACTACAGCCTAAACGTTATGATTGTAAGTTACTGTTTGTTTTACATTTTTTATATAATGCGGATATACAGCTGCGGTCAATAAGATAGACAAAAGTTTCAAACCTGGCACAAAGTTCATAAAAATTAATCAAACTTAAAAAAAATCATAAAAATTTCAAACTCTTTATTCAGTATTTTTAGAAAAGTTTCAAGTATGCAGTTTTATAGCCCATTCAATTTGAAACTTTTCTAAAAATACTGAATAAAAAGGTTGAAATTTTAATGATTTTTTTTTTTAGCTTGATTACTTTTTGTGAATTTTGTGAAAGCTTTGAAACTTTTATTTACGTGGTTTCTGTTATTGAACGAACTATGTTTCAAATGAAAATAAATAAATAAACGTACATAAGTTGCAAACAACATCCTTTTGAATTTTGATACTATCTCATTGACCACAGCTTTACATATCGCACACCGTCTTCAAAAGGGTCACAACTCAAAATTACACGTTTATCAGAAAATGAGAAAAACTGTTTCTTAGCACACGATAATCATTTGGGCAAGGGAGAATAGACTTCAGGTTTTTTTTAACAAATTATGACAAACATTTTGCTTTTGCTGAAAGTTAAATAAAAGCTCTGTGTCCATTTTTAGCGCATAATTTCAAAAATGCCAAATTTTGAGTTTTGCCTCTTTTGAAGACGGTGTGCGATATGTTTGTGCTTATCAGGTCTATTCTGCGCTGGCAATAAAAATTTTTTAACTGGTAAATAAAGTTCTTGTAAATTTTTAGACCCTTTTCGCATTCTGTGTACTCTTGTAACCGGTAAATTTTGTTACCATCTCATAAGCTGGTAACAAAGTATTGCCCCGTGAAAAATGCATTGCCAGAATTTTCTCAATTCTGCATAGCTGAATTGCTGAATATTTTAACTGCATTGCCAACGTACCTAGAATCGCGGTGACAAGAACTGGTAACATTTTTTGGTAATAAAATTTTCCGGTTACAAAATCTTCGGTAACGTGCAGAATAGACCTGTATGTGTACATTTTAGCTTTGTGACAATGAAATGAGGATTCGGTTCGTTGATGCTTCCCATCCTGGTGCATGCCATGATTCCTTTATTTGGAATAATAGCGACTTGCGTGCCTGTTTTGAAAGGGAGTACTTGCGAGGAGGGAATAACTTCTGGCTTTTAGGTAACCTTATTTTATTATATACTTGAGTACAAATGTATCTAATACTTTTGGTTTATTTGTAATTAGCCGATGCTGGATACCCTTTGGAACCGTGGCTGTTAACACCTCATAGAACTCCGGAGGAAGGTTCAACGCAAATGAGGTTCAATGAAGCACACGCAAAATGTCGCAACATTATCGAACGGACCAATGGTGTATTGAAGAACAGGTGGAGGTGTATCCTTGGTGCTCGAGATTTGCACTATACTCCCGAAAAAGCAGCAAAAATTATAAATGTGTGTTGTGCGTTGCATAATATATGCATTCATTTTAAAGCAAGCACACACATTATTGAGTGTGAAGTACTGGAGCCGGTTGAAATGAATGCAATATCAGTAGCATCATCGCAATATACTGCTGTAGCTCAATCAACAAGAAATAATATAGGAGCCTCCCTTTAAGTTAGGTATATATAAATTTAAATATTTATGTACATATGGTCGCGGCATTTTAAAATTTTTGCAGGCAACTTTTAGATTTTCAGCGTTTCCCCCAAAAAAAGTTATTAGTAGTGTTTCGTCTATAAATAGTGACGAACTTTCATTTGTAAAAACTTTTATTTGTAATAAATTAACAGCTCAATTGAGGTTGTACAGTCTTCTGTAATGCAATAGCTATCCTTTAAGGTTAAAAAAAAATTAAAAAGGATTCACAATCTTATCACTAAATACTAAAACAGAAAGGACAATAACATATCCTGTCAGGATAACAATAAAAAACAAAACAAAAATAAACAATTCACTACAAAATATATTCTTATTGCTAATAAACAAAAAAGAAAACCCAATTCACTGACTTATGTACATATCGTTGCTGCGCCAACAAAAATAGTTATGTGAGTTTTTCTAAAAATTTTTATTGCATATTTTATTAACCATTTATTGCCTACATTTCCGCATTTTCCGTTTTTATATCTCCTTTGGTTTAGAAGTGATACGAAATAGAATTGGGCGCTCAGAACTAGAAATACTCTGAAAAAATCTGGGCTCGTATTACTCGTCACGTAAAAACACAGTTTTCGGATTATGATATACGTGAACGTACTCTTTGCCCCATTCAGCTTATATTGCCTGACGTATCACGTAATTTTCTTTCGTATGGTTTTCGATCCGTGAACGGATGTTACGATTCGAGCCCTGTTTTTGCTCTCCAAAAAAGCACATAACTG